AGAGGGTAGGGCTGGGGTTGTCTAACCTGGTGAGTGTGGCTCAGCGGGGTGGCTGAGGTGTCTAAGTTCAATGTAGAAGTCCTCTGGCGGGTACCTGGCCTCCAGGGCACTGATCTGGAAATGGGAGTCTAGTGAGAGGAATGACAGGGAGGAGCCATTATTCCCAGGGCCCTGGTTTGGCAGGGGAGGGGATGGGGTCTGAGGGTCATGGTAGGGCAGGCTGGAAGAAATTAGGGCCCCTATGTGTAGCATCCAAAGGGGCTGGGGCCAGCAGGGCCTTGGGGATTTGCTAGAGCTGAGGCCATTGGCCTTGCTTCTCCACCCCCTCTACCCCTACCCCCATCCCACCCCTTATAGGAATTGGTGTCCACTAGAACAGTGGAAGAAACCCTTGAAAGGGATACCTTATTAGGGCCTGGGTCAGACAGGGGTTCCTTTTCTAGATGGTGAGTGCATCTTTGGCCTCCATCTGGAATCTCCATACCTGGGGCTCTAGTCATCTCTTTCCCTGGGTCACAGCCACCCTCTCCCTACCCCCTAATAAAGGAATGAAGAGGGTCCTGGGCTTCATTTGCTTATAAGTCTGAAACAGGCACTTGGGGTTCCTCCCCACACCCCTTCTCCCTGGGGGAAATCATGCTCAGAATTCATTTACTAACCTTCTCTCTTAGAGCTAGGACAGGGCCCCCCTCAGTGCAGAGAAGGAGAACAGGGTAGGACATGATGGCAAGGGACCATAGTCAAACCACTACTGACCTAACACGTTCACATAGCTGTAAGGGGTCCAGCCTGCTGTGTCTCTGTCAAGGGACTTGTTACTGAGCTGTTTGGAAAGTAGGAGAGCCGGTTAATACCTAGTGCCTGGAGGTGCCCCCTGCCCAGACTTCACTCTTCCCAGCCTTGTGCACCCACCTATGTCCTAGTGTTGAGGGAAAGAGAGAGCTAGGTGTTCTGTGAGAGGCCACCTTGGTGTGGCTGATGGCAGCAGAGCAGAGCATACACCCATTTAAGCTGTCTGGCTGAAGCTGTAGGGTTTCCAGGTCTTTGGGGAAAAGGAGGGCAGGGGAAGGTCCTCCCAAGGGCAGAGAACCTGCCTGAACCAAGCTGATCCTGACAGGGGAAGTAGGTGGGCTCTGGCACTCTTCACCTGCAACAGGAGGCCATCTCCAGCACAGGATGGTGCTGAGGCCGCCTGCAACATCACTGGCACCTCGGCCACTAGACCGGGACTGAGTGTGAGAGTCTCCCTTTCATATGACCAAGGGAAAGCTTCAGGGCACGGTGTCCTTATGGTGTAATCCAGGGGTCCTCAAACTTTTTAAACAGGGGGCCAGTTCACTGTCCCTCAGACCGTTGGAGGGCCGGACTATAGTTTAAAAAAAAACTATGAACAAATTCCTATGCACACTGCACATATCTTATTTTGAAGTAAAAAAACAAAACGGGAACAAATACAATATTTGTATTTGCATGTGGCCCGCGGGCCGTAGTTTGAGGACCCCTGGTAATCTTTCCTCTTCCTGCATTTTCAGAGCCGTGTGAGGCAAGGATGGTTATCCTCATTTTACAGGTCCTGCTTGTGGGTCCTGTACTTGGTTACACAGGAGTCTGCGGCAGAGCTGGGTCTACAATTCAGATGGTCTCAGCTCCGGGATCCATATGCATATTATCTCATCACAGGTGCCTGTTTTTGCTACCTATGTCTTATCTGCCAGGCTGAGGGGTCTTGGACCACACAGAGCCACTTTGGACCCTGGGGTAAGGTGAGCCAGAGAGTTAATAAGTGGGCTCCTCTGCAGGAACTCCAGCACTTTACTGAAAGTGGCTGACACTTTTCTATTAGAATGAGACCAAGAATGACATAGCCACAAAGGACCTTGTCATCCCTGGCATCCTCTGTCTCTTACCTGCTGCAGCCTTGATAATGTGGCTCTAGTTAATCAAGGGCCTCCTTCTGGGAAATGCGATTCCTTTCCCTTAGCTTTCAGTCCTCGGATAAGCCTAAAGCTGAAGCTGGGAATGGGGATCTGAGCTATAGGGCTGTGTATGGGGCTGATGGCCACAGTCTTGCATATAGGCCTCAAGGCATCCTGTGTGCAGCACTCCCATTTGGAAAATCAGAGGTGTGTGGCCTTGGAGTGCTGGCTTGACAGTGGTTGTCCTTGGTTGTACAGTATCTGGTCTAGGGGGTTCAAGCTGCATTGCTGTCAGTTCTGTGGAGCAGACAGGGAGAAAGGTTTCCCCGAGCTCTAGGGCAGAGGCCTGGAATATAAAAACTGCTCCTGTCCATGTTCCTGGCAGGAGGGGTGTTACAGGAAGCCAGGAGTCTGGGCCTGCTATTGTGTGTATATACATAGGTGGGTGTCAGGAGGTATGGGCAGCATGAGCCTGTCAAACATTGTGGTCCTTGAGGCTGTTCTTCCTCATTTCTGAACCTCCCACTTTGCCAGGTATGGGTCCTGGTACACCAGCAGGGCTCACTACACGTGTTCTGAGACATCCTTGCCCAAAGGCCTGTAAGATGACATCTTGCCACCAGCCCAGGGTTATGCTTGGAGCTGTGAGGGAAGGCCCACAGGACTCGCTGTTAACGAGAACACTAACTATGGCCGATGTTTGGGTCCCACATCCCTTGCATTAGTTCTGATTATAATAAATGGTTGTGCACTGATGACGTGTGGTATGTCCAGGTACAAGGACATTAGCTGGTTACCTGAGTAATAGTGGTTACTCTAATGTGCTGATTGCATACATGGTATTGGTAACCTACTGCAGTGATTGGTGGTTTGTGGTGTAGTATTTTGATTACATGTGTTAACATGTGGCAAAAGTGGCTACATGGTATACATAGTTATGTGACAAGGTTACACATGATTATATGATCACATGGCTTGGTACCAACTGGTTGCACACAGGGTGTGGGGGTTTGTTATAC